CAACAACTTAATCTCTTGTTTCTTTTCTACTTCTCTAATGAAATGATATTTAACTTTAATGTGCTTCGTTCTTCCATGCTGGATAAGATTATTTGCAATAGCAATTGCAGATTTGTTGTCACACATGATAACAACAGGCTAAACTTGCTCTTCTCCAAAATTAGTCATTAATTTTCGAAGCAAAATTGCTTGATTTGCGGCATAGGCACATACTCTGCCTCAGCAGTTGATTGAGTCACCACATCCTCTTTTTTAAGTTCCAAGAAAAGGGACCTGATCCAAATGAGAAGATATATCTTGAAGTACTTTTAGAATCCCCCATACTTCTAGCCCAATCACTGTCAACACATCCCTGCAAAATTCCTTCGGCTTTTTTCTCATACCACACACAAGAGTCAACAATTCCTTTAATGTATCTCAACACCCTTCAAGTAGCATTAAGGTGAGCTTGACTTGGTGAGTCCATAAACCTTGACAATAGGATAGCTGGAAACATAAGATCAGGTCGTGTAGCAATTAAATAGAGAAGGCTTCCAATCATGCTCCTGTAGATAGTAGAATCCACCTTGTCTTCTCCATCATCAAGTGCTAGTTTTTCATTCTAGACAAGTGGTGTTGCAACTGATTTCCCTTGTTCCAAATTAAACTTTTTGAGGACATCCCAAGCATATTTTCATCGAGTAAGAAAGATACCTTTTTCCATCTGATAGACCTTCATTCCTAAGAAGTAATTCATCAACCCCAAATATGACATTTCAAACACTTGTTGCATTTCATCCTTGAACTTCTTTACTGGCTGAAAATTACTTCCTATAACCAACATAGCATTGACATACAAGGACAAGATCATTTTTTCACCATCTTCAAGACTTTTAACATATAATGTAGCTTCAATATCGCTCTTCTTGAATCCTTGATAGATCAAATGAGAGTCATTCTTGCATGCCAGGCCCTGTGGGCTTACTTCAGCTTGTACAATGCTTTTCTCAATCTGTAAACTGTCTTCTTCACTTGAAATTACAAAACCTTGAAGCTGGTGCACATAAATATCCTCCTCAAGAATGCCATTAAGAAAGGCAAACTTGACATCTAAATGAAAAACACTCCATCCAAGTTTAAAAGCAAAAGCTAGAAGCATTCTAATGGTATCATGTCTTGCCACAGGTACAAATGTATCACCATTACTACTCCAAGCATTTGTGCATTACCCTTTACAACCAACCTGGCCTTATGTTTGAAAATGAAGCCATCAAGGTTTAATTTAGTTTTGTAAACCTATTTGACATCGATAAGATTCTTTCCTAAAGCTTGGTGGTAAGCTCCCAAGTTTGATTCTTCTCAATCATTCTAATTTTCTCCTTCGTAGCTTTTCACCATTCTTCAAGTTGGGAAGCTTCAACAAAATCTTTTGGTTCTGAGATAGCTATGTTATACCTTGCAAAAATCTCAGATAGAGATTTAGTTTTTAGATTTGTTGGAATAATGTTATCCTACCATTCACCACCTGTAGTCAGGTATTGCGGACTGCCTAGACAATCTCAAATAGGTTAGAAATCGACCAAACTTTCTAGCAAGGGGCCAAGTTTTTGGGAAAACGAAAATGGAATGGGTCCAACGAAGAAAAAAGAAAAGGACAAAACAAGAAAGTCAACTTTGGATCGAGCTTTGGACGAGTCGTCTCAACCTATCCAAAGTGCAACAGGGTGTATGGTGGTGAATGTTTGTTCGAGAAACATGTGTGCTATCGATGTGGCAAAACAGGTCACATTTCCAAAAATTGTAAAGAAGAACCCTTGAAGAAGAACGATGAGCAAGATAAGAAGGAAAATGCCCAAGTTTTTGCTTTAGCCCAGGAATGGATAACAGAAGACCCGAACGCGGGTAATTTCAAGGAGAAATTCTTTTAAAAAGGGGAGATTGTAATATGCGAAAATAATAAATAAATAAATAAAATAATAAAAATTATAATTATACTTCAAAAAAAGGGACAAATGAAATATATTTTAAATTCCTATCTTATCTTTATTCAAATAATTAGATTTTGATAAAAAGAGACGAAGTATATCGATATTGGATAGGGATGGTAGTTCTTCCATATTGAATAAAACAATGATAAAGTACAATCCTTGTTTTATGATACATGCCACATTGGATTTGACTCTATCAAATAAATTTTTATGTTTACCAATTTCTCTAGCCTACACCTACATATAGGGATGATGGAAGAGTTTTACATACACAAATCAAAATATTCACTTACGGTAGAGAGAAAGAAGTGTTAGAAATCTAAAAGTTTGCTTACATCATTGTCAATCATTACACTTTCATTGAAGCAGAGAGATTAAGAAAAAAATTTGGGCATGAAAAATTATATTTTATTTTATTTAGCAAAGTAAGATACTTTTGTGCAAGTGTTTCTTTTTTTTTTTTATGATTTTATATTCAATTAAATATGCATGAATTGCTGGTGGATCTTCAAGTTCTTTAAAAAAGAGATGAAATTCTACGGGATTATAAGAGGATCTAAAATGGGGTGTGTCACTTGGTCACCGATATACTTCATAAGAGCAGAGTGGTATGAAGAGTAAATTTTATTTGTTATATAATTGTGTATCAAAACTGTTGGTCTCTTACTGTGTGTTTTTCAAATACTCACTCTTACAAATTTTTATAGGTTAGTTCAGATTGATTGGAATTGTGGTGGGATGGTGATGCGGACTGCCAAGTGAATCAAAGAAAGGAAAAATCAATTAAATATTTAGTTTTTTTTTCATGTCTCTAAATTTAATTGCTAGTTTTATTTGTTCAAAAACTCATTTGTTTAATTAGTCCATTGATTGTGTTTAAATTTTTAGAAACTCGGATCTCGCGTTTAAATTGATATTTATGGATGAAAATAAAAAATTTCTTTTTATTTGAGACATTCCGCAATTATTAAAGAGAAATTTGAATTTTTCGTAACACTCCAGCATTTATAAAAAATTTGGGGTGTTGCAGTACCATTTTACCCCTGTGCCCTAATTATAACATATAAATATGAAACTTTGATTCTCAATAAAGTATAATACAAGTCTATTAACGTCTTCATTTTATCTTTCCTTTTTGTCTTTAGTTTATAACAAAACTAACTGTTAAATAAAAACAATTTATTTGGAAATATTTTCCTCTTTTAAATTATTACGATGGAAACTATTTTGCAATCATGACATTTTCTTTATGAACTCCCACCATTCAATCAAGGCTCGACTATAATGAGTAGATTAAAAATTTTTAGAGGGAATGAATAAAATTTCACCTCTTGCCAATTTTAAACGTACTTTCAAGATAAAAATGTTTTAGCCCTTGTTTGATCCCCATATACTCTTGTGTGTATTTCATTGAAAATAGAAGTCCTATATTTATAGGTAAGAAATAGGGAAATTGTCATAGTAATTAGGAGAGATACGATGATCATTCAATAATTAGTATTTAACTTACAACACTCCTTGAAAGACTAATTACAAAATATTTGTCCCGTTAAAAACCTTTTTGATAAAATTTTAGTGGGAAAAAAATATCAAATGAGGAAAAATCCAATAGGATAAAATTTGAGTGAAGGAAAAAAGACGACTACTCCCCTTGATCTTGATCATTAAAAATCCTTGAGTCAATGCATTTCTATCTTTTGTAACAATTTTTTTGAACGTGGACATGGGCAATGCTTTTGTGAATAAGTAAGTCACAATATCTCTTGAGCTAATCCATTGAACATTGATATCACGAGTCTTCTGCAGCTCATGTGCATCAAAGAATTTTGGAAAAATATGTCTGGCCTATCTCCTTTGATATAACCACTACTAGAAAAATGGTCTTTTACAACATTTAAATGGCAACATTCACCAATTGTATGTTGTTAAAAGAGGTTTATTACAACATTCAGCAAATGTATGTTGCCATTGGTTGAGAAAATTAAGATTTAGCAACGTTCTTTGAGTGGTTGTTGCTAATACCCCCTTCGCAACATTCAAAGACCTTTTTTTTTTTTTTTTTTTTTATTTTTGGCAACATGCATTGACCGTTGCTATAGATATTTTAGCAACGTTTAAAGAACGCTTCCGTTAATTACTTTTGGCAACATGCATTGCCCATTGCAAAAACTTGTTAACGACAATGTTCATTGAACGTTGCCGTTAACTAGTTTTTGCAACGGGCAATGCACGTTGCTGTATATGTTTTAGCAACGCTCATTGAACGTTGTCGTTGATTTGTTTTAGCAACATTCAAAGAACGTTGCCGTTGGTTTGTTTTAGCAACGTGAACGTTGCGGTTAAGTATTTTTGGCAATTTTTTTGAACGTTGTCATTAATTTCTTCGTAGTAAATTGACTAAATTCAACGTTAAATATAAAATCATACAAAACCCAAACCGACCCGACCCTGTTAGTTTGGTATAAACTCAAACTAGCCTTAATTTCTTCCCCCTCTCTCACTCTCCCGCCACCGTTCTCACTCTCACTCCCAATTTCTTCCCTCATTATTATCAGCTTTCTTCTTCTCAGAATAATAGCTTTTCTGGTGTTGGAAGTGGTGGGGGTGTGAGCAATATCTACGATTCTTTAGGCGGTGCAGTTTTTTCGAGGAGCTCTCACTATAATGCTCCCAAAGGTGCTTTAATTAATCTTGTAGAAGTGTTGCAGATACTGTAACGAGTTTTTTTCTTTTAAAGAAATGGCTTTTTGACTAGAGAAAAGATTCAAAATAAAAGTGTGAACATTGGTGCTTTTTTGCAGGAGGCATGCTAATTTCTGGAAAAGCTTTTTTTACAGACGCACAGTGGCAAGAACTGGAGAGACAGAACATGATATAAAAATACATAATGGCTTCTATCCCTGTTCCTCCTAAACTCCTCTTACAACTCTCAAATGCCCCAATTTCTTTCCAATCTAGAAGTAAAGTTCCCTTTGATTGCATTATATTTCAATTTCTTAATCATAATTTGTTCTCAATTATGCTGATAAGTATTTTTATGTGTAGCATCTAGTTTGATATGGCAAATTCGGTGGTATGGGAAGTCCAAGAGCTGCTGATTGCTTTGATATTTCAAGTAAGAATGGTGAAATATATTCAACTTAAAAATATATTTTTATTCAGGCATTTTTATTTAGACTTCATTTGCTTGTTGTCAAATCTGTTTTCACTTTGTCCTTTTTAGACCATTCTCTAATTCACAAAGTGAGTGAGGAGGATAACAAACTTGGCATTGGGAAGCAATTCCCAGGATTGAATCTGAAAGCACTGAACAATCCAAACCTGTATGCAGCGGAGAAGGAAATATATTTGGGTTCATTGTGTCACGTTTCACACGCAGCAAAACCATGGCAATTTTGCATGGTCTTGTTGAAAAATGGAAATTATGACACTAAATCTGGGCTTTGTCCTGAAAATGGTAAAAAGGTACCACCATTTAGTCCAGGAAGATTTCCATGTTTTGGAAGTGGATGTATGAATCAGCCAATCTTGTACCATCAGCCCACAAGTTTGGATGGAAAGGACACAATGAAAGGAGGTTTTAATTGTACTTATGAATTAGATGGAAATTCTTACTTTGAGGTTGCCTGGGAGAAAAAATTTGGTTCAGGGAGTTGGGATTTTGCTCATAAATTAAGGACCTTGAAAAAATATCCATGGCTTATGTTGTATCTAAGAGCCGATGCAACCAAGGGATACTCCGGTGGCTACCATTACGACACTAGAGGAATGCTCAAAACTTTAAGTATTAGAAATCCCAGTTTGATTATGTCCAATTTAATGCTAAATTTTCACTTTTTATTTTGTGAAATTTGGGTACTTCGCATAATCCATTTCGAGGTCGATCTTACGTGTGAGTTTTCTGAATCATCAAAACTAAATTTCCATACTCGATCTGAGACAAGCTTCTCTGTGGCGATCGTGAAGGTTGAATTTACCTATTGCATTCAAAAGATAGGTGCAGGCCAAGAAGAAAGTAACAGGAAGGATTTTTTAGAGCTAGCCAACCCAACGGTTTGAAGACAACAAGTTGTAAATTATCTTCTTTTATACAATAATTTTCTATTGTTTAAGAGGAGTGTAAGATGATGTTTATTTGATGGGCAATATGTAAATTAAAATTTTTATTAGATTTATTACAATGATTTGTTTTGACTATTTGGTATGGATTAATAAAATTATATCAATTGAAAGCCCAAAAAGTCTTTTTCATTTTGTGGTTGATTTGGTAAATTGTTATACAAATAGGAAAAAAAATTGTAAACAACCTACGGCAACGTTCAATGAACGTTGCCAAAAGTCTCATTGCAACGTTCATTGAACGTTGTCAAAAGTCTCATTTACAACGTGTCTTTCATGTTGCTGAAAGGGTGTTTTGGCAACGTTCATTGCACGTTGTCAAAACCCATTTTCTGCAACGTGCATTGAACGTTGCCGAAAGGGTGTTTTGGCAATGTTCATTGCACGTTGCCAAAACCCAGTTTTCGCAACGTGCATTGAACGTTGCCAAAAGATGGCAACGTTCAATGTACTTTTGGCAACGTTCAATGCACGTTGCCAAAACCAAGTTTCCGCAACGTGCAATGAACATTGCCAAAACTCTTCGTTCTACGGCATTGTTGAAACCCACGGTAGACGCCTGAACGTTGTGATAGGTCTATGGCATCGTTTTTTGCCCATTGTAAAAAGTGATTTTTGGTGCAGTGAACCTCGTTTGAATTGTGCAATATAAGCAACATTATCTTCATATAATATATTCGTGCATTCTCATTTAGTATTAGCCAAGATCATAGTCTATTTTGTTTCTCTCTTCAAGACCTCATATATAACTTATAACATATTAGTGTAAAATCGTAATTATATATTGAGGATAAATATTATGTTGGTTATGAAGATTCATTACATAGTTAATATACCTCAATGTAATCTTATTAGAAAAATATGTGTGAAAAATCTTAATGATGGAAAAGAATACATTATTTCTTTGAATACCTTACAAAAGATGTATCAGTAAAAGCTTTGAAGAAAATTCTAGTGGGACAAAATCTTAATCAAGAAAAAAGAGTATAACGCATATTAAAACCCCTTCACAATAATATCACTTTAGATCAATATGTTTTATTATCTTCATGAAACATCTTCTATATCAATTGTTATGATGGGATGAGATGGGAGAAGATTTGTGAAGAAGAAGGTACAGCTCTCTCTCTCTCTCTCTCTCTCTCTCTCTCTCTCTCTCTCTCTCTCTCTCTGGTTTTGTTATTCAATTATTTTATTTCTTTAATGTGGTAATAAAAAATCATTATTTTGCTCAAAATTATAGTAACAACTTAATTTCTAGTAAACTGGTTGTGATCGTAGTTGCAATAATTCCTAAAGAAATTAACCAAATCTCAATTGTACATGCTCAAAATTATATTGACATTCTGAAAGAACAATATATAAACATTATATTTGATAAATTTATCAAATCTGAAGTTTAGATACATTTGGTTCTAATACTAGAATTCCCAAAAAGAAAAATTGATCAAATAGTAAAAATGGTTCCGTTGAGGAAGTATATACTCTTGGAGAGTATCTACGTATAACTTTGTAAAACTCTAGGACATGTTTATGTATCTAAAACATCTAAAATAAATAGATCTAGATAAGTTTTGTCTCTATGAGAAAAGAAATATATTTTAAAATAAACAGTTGTTGATCATGTATATCATGCAATATGTGAACGAAAGTGAGGATGGTTAATTAGAATTTGTCGAAGAATGTCAACATAGAAATGATTGACCAAAATAAAATGATGTAATCCTAGCAAACTTGAACTTACTAGAGAAACATAAAGTTTTTTGACATAGAGTGGAACACTTGTGTAAAGCCAGTATTGTTTATGCGAAAAGAAAATTAGAAAAATAAAGTTGTAATATATAATGCACAAATTGTAACATAAAAAATTTTGTAAATACTTATAATGAATAAGAGTAGATATCTTGCTAGCCTAGAAAACGCATGAAACTTGACATGATTAACAAATCTAATTACGACCAACTTATGTGGCATGCCTGATATATATAAATCTCTAAAAGATTTAATATGCCCGAATTAGAATATCTTATATTATCTTTGATAAAATATAGCCTAATCTCATGTATTTATCTTTTATTAGGTAAAATTCAGTGGCTAAAGTGGAATTGGAAGAAATGAATGAAATCGGGAAAAATGAAAGAAATTTAAAGTTCGAGGACCAAAGTATAAATATTTAATAGTTGATTCCAATTGCAAAACACCAATTGGAGAATACTAGGAGTCAATTGGTGCAATTAAAAGTCAAAGGAGTGAAATATAGTCAAAGTATTTTTGCAAATTAATTTCTAGAGGCACAAGTTATGCACCAGATTTCCTGCTTCAGATTAAGATTCATTTTTTAAGTTGTAGCCCTTTGAGTTACTTTCCAAAGTGTTTTTGAATCACTTTAATTGGGTATTGGAAGAAAAAGATATGACAAAAATGCTGGCTACTAAGCAGAGATATAACCATGCACGATGCTAATGCAACTTTCCTTATTTGGTTGGAATTCTTTTATAACCCAATTTAGACGTGTTTCTTGACCTACTTTCACCTTCTATAAATAAAAAAATTGGGCAAATCTCTCTAATCTTTCAAATCACTCTCATATCATAAAATCATTCAAGAATGAGGTACAAATTTATCTTAAGTTGGGGAGGAAAACAAATGTGGCACGTGATGTGAATCAAGAAACATAAAAATCCAGAAGAATCAAAACTGATTAGGTTTGATAATAAGAACAAGAATTATATGTATTACTTATGTAATTAGTTGCTTGTTGTAGTGCTAAAAAGTTTAAAACTAAATATAATACTACATGATTAACAAACCAATAGATGTTAAAAATAACAGTATCGCATGTTCAATCATCTTAGTAATCATGATATTGAATACATTCTACTCATTCAAATTCAGACTAGCAATAGGATTGGACTAACTGCAAGCTAATACAATTTAATTTAAGGTTTATTACTTGTGGGACAATATTGTTAACTCATCAAATCCATTACTTTTTAACGATTACTTAGACTTGTGGGAATTGACCGAACATATTTTTGTTGCCATTGTTGGGAATGAAGCGTTTAAACAGGATTTATTGATTAGTACTAGATTAATGATTTTTTTTTTTTTTTTTTGTAAATTTTGGTTACCCAATCAAATCTCTCTTGTGTTTTGTATTCTTTCACATATTATTTAGCAATATATGCAGGACTCTAATGTTGGCAAATGAGTAATATTTTTGCAATATGTAAACCCAACATGGACAAGGAGGATATGCTTGTAGAAGATATATATTGTGAGCTTTGTTATGGAATGCATTAAATTGGACAATGCGTGTATACGTGCACTAGCTCTCTTATGTTCAAACTTCTTCAGTTTAAACAATATTTACGATATCAAGAATAAGCAATCGACAAATCTGATGAAGGCTATATGCATGTGGGCATGTATTTGCGGATGAGGATGAAGACATCGTGCTTGTGGAGTTGGTCCTCCCCTATTGAAGGAAGAGATACTTGAAAAATATTATTCTTGTCAAGTTGGGTGAAAGCAAAATGCGTATGGGAGATGCCTTATTCAGGAGAAAATTTAAAAGATGGGAATATAATTCGCTTAAAAAATTAAAAGGAAAAACTTGCCACTGTATGTGGATTTTAGACCGTGAGCTGACCATTCAACCAGATGTGATACCAATTGTTGAAAGAGAGCATATAGAAGGATGATAAAATAATTATAAAGGAACCCAATGAAGAAATGACAAATAATGAAGTTGAAATTAACACATATTTTTTTGACTTAATCGAATCGTCCAATAATTAAATTTGTGTTAAGTCCGAGGAGAAGGTAGAAGTCTACATGGTTGATTTTAAATCGGATGGAATAGACAAGTCATATCTCACTAAAAATGGTAAGGCTAAGATTTTGAGATTCAATGAAAAGTGAAAAGATGCAGAATGAGCAAAAAAACTTTCTTCAAAATTCTATAATCAAAATTGCCAAAGTAAAGCTAATGACTATAAACAAGCACAAATTGGAAGGCAACCTAATTTTTTTCTTTTTATTTTTTATGCCTTTTAGATAATAGATTATGTAGTTTTTTATTACTTTAATTGCTTTTAGTAGTTTAGAGTATTTTTCATCCTCATATTGCTCTATAATTTGTGTTTGAACTCATTATAAATTTTTCCATATTATTATGATTGACTTCTCTTTATTTTGTAGGAACATGAAAATTGAAAACACACCAACCAACAGTGGACAATATAAAGAATGTAGCCAAGTGGATCTTCATGCCCCTACAATTTCGTTCAAAATTAGCCTCCAAAATCAAACAAAAATTCGGGAAGTCTCTTATTTTCTCTTTTCCCCTTTTATTTTACATAATCGATAATATTTTAAGACATTGAGGGCAATGCTTGATTTAAGTTAACAAATAGTTTTTAATTCTTTTGTGTGATTGTGTGAAATTTTATTGTTTTGTTATATATTAAAAATTCTTTTTAATTTGCCTGATTGTGTGGGTTAGTTAGCCTTGCTGACAATGAATTATATATTTGGAATTATGTATTAGTTTAGAAAATATGAATAAGTTGCATGCTTGTATTAATTTTTACTTATTTATGTAAAACTTGATACTTTTTGTGCATGTAAATTAAGTTTTACATTATAAAGGAATGAACGGATTCATATTTTGAATAGGTTGAAATAGTGGAGTTTAGAAGCTAATCCCAAATATCATATTATACATCCTTAAAAACAAATTTAGTATAGTTTGAGAGTGATTGAATTGTTGTGAGAAGATGTTGAGATGAATAGGGATTTCATGCGTGCTAAATTTTGCGAGGATTAGATGAAAATGTTTAGTTAGTGGTCAAATTTTGAGAATGAGTATTTAATAAGGTACACTGCACTAATTATTGCATAAAAAAGGGAAAAGCTACCACATTATGAAGATACCCTATAAAAAATCTCAATGAGGACAAATATTGAATATCTCAAGAAGAAACTTAAAAGGGATAATGCTAGAGCATGAAACAAAAAGACACACAAAAATTTGAAAAATTGGGTGCATGAAGCACAAGACATGCGCATGTCTTGATTAAGCCTCAAACACTTATTTGAGAGAAGTAGACCTTTGACAAGGGATTACTAACTTGTTGGTTTTTAGATCTTGAAGCAATCAAAATAAAGGAGAATCATTATTTGTTGATAGATTGACTTGCAATTAGTGAGAACTATTAAAATTAGAGAGGGTGGGAATTAGTATATAAATTCAATCATAGATCACACAATAGGAAAAGAGTTAAAAGAATAAGTTTAGGGTATGTGTCTCACTAGTTAAAAAATGATATATTTGACCATTAAGGATCGGGAATTGAAATAACTTGTGAACTTATGATGTTTTACTTAATCATTCACACACATATATCAATTTTACATTGCATAAGTAGAAGTTGATTTGTTTATGGTGATTTTGAAGTTATTCATGGAATTAATACAATGATGTCAATCACGAGACGAATAGCAGGTGTGACCAAATTTATTGTATTAGTTGGTTGGCTGGCCACCAATTAGGTAATTAGTTTTTTATGCTTGTTTGTCGAGATATGTTATAATTTTGTTTGAGGACAAATATATGTTCAAGTTTGGAGTGTTTGATAAGTGGATTTGTACACTTGTCTATGCCATTAAATATTGCCTTTGATAAATTATAGTCCAATATCATGTAGCTATCGTTTCTGAGATAAAATTCAATGATTGAATAAAAATTGGAAGGAACGAAAATGGGCTAAAATGGAATAAATTCAAAGTTTGAGGACCAAAGTACAAATATCTAATAGTTGAGTTAACTTTCTGATTTACTTTTAATCACCTGAATCGAATATTAGAAGAGAAAGATATGACAAAAATGCTTACACCTACATAGAGACATAACCATGCGTAATGCAAATATAACTTTCCTTATTTGATTGAAACTCTATTAGAACAATTTGCACGTGTTTCTTGACCTAATTTCACATTCTATAAATCAAAAAACATGGGCAACCATTAAGGGATCTCTCTCTCTCTCTCTCTCTCTCTCTCTCTCTCTCTCTCCCTTTT